CACACGGATCTCAGCCTCTCTGAGCGGCTGGGAGAATTGTGGGTGAAGGGCACTGGGAGAAGCCACTGGCCCTGGAGACAGAAAGCCAAACACACACACACACACACACACACACACACACACACACACACAGGTTGAAGGCTTTGGGTAGCTGCAAGAATCTATTAAGCAGTGGCTGACTTATAGCTAATGATATGCAAATACAAACTCATTTTGCAATGACTAATTAGATGATAATTAACGGTTATTCTGGTGGCTTCTGAATACATGCAGTCCTGGGGCTGGAACTCAGGGCCCGGGCACTATCCTTGAGCTCTTCACTCAAGGCTGGTGCTCTACCATTTGAACCACAGCGCCACTTTTGGTAGTTATTAGGAGGCGGGCGTCTCGTGAACTTTCCCGCCCAGGGCTGGCTTTGAACCTCGAGCCTCCGATCTCAGCCTCCTCCGTAGCCAGGATGACAGGCGTGAGCCCCGGCGCCCGGCTTCCTGGGGCCTCAGAAATACCCGGCTCCACCTCAGCTGTGGATGGGTGAGAAAGCGGGCTCAGTTTGGGGGTTCTGCTGTCGTTTGTGGGGTGCTGAAGGTAAAGGGAAGCCCGTGACTCTCAGGTGGATAAATCCGCAATCTGCTCTCCTTACCACCCTGCTCTTTGTGGTATTCTTGAGCTCAAGGTCCTGGGTTCCATCCCTGTAAAGATCTCTTCTGTTTCCTTGTACAGCAAATAGGGAAGCCGGGGTGTGGAATTCTCGGGGCTAAAAGTGTTTTGGGGTTCAGCGTCAATTTGGGGATACTTGTGTTTTGTTCCCCTCCCCCGACACTTTACCATTTTAGTACCCTCACTCTAGAAAATTCTAGAAGACTAAAAGCTCCACCGTGAGAGGTTTCCTGAGCCCCGTGCGAAGTCGGGTTCAGGGAGGGTTACAGTTTTCGGGGCTCCTCCGGTTCATGCCAGACATTGATCACTGCCGCTCACGGAGCCTCGGAAAAATCAGGGTGTGTGTGACCCGCCCCACCTGGAGTCTGGGAACAGAACTCAGGTAGATCGATCCAGGGAACCATCGATCGATAAACAGGTAGCTAGATACATAGATGATCGATAGATGATAGATAATGGATACGGAGATGACTGATACATAGATTGTTGATAGACGATAGAAACACAGATGATAGGTAGGTAGAGAGAGAGATGGACGGATGATTGATAGGTAACAAATGATAGATAATAAGTAGATGATAGAAGACGGATAATAGATGATAGATAGAGATGATTGATAGATACATAGATTAAAATATAGACACAAAGATTACTGATAGGTAATAGATACATAAATGATAGATACATAGATTGACAACTAATATATAGATGATAGATAGATACACAGATACATAGATACATAGACTATGAACCCACAGAAAATTGATAGATGGCAGACAGATACATGGATAGTGACAGATTCCCAGGTGACCGATGGGTAACAGACAGATCACAAGGAAGTAGATAGACAGGTGGCGCAAGACAGAGGTACGCAGACAGATGATAATTAAAGATAGGGAGAGAAATAGATGACACTTAGATGATACATAGACAGACAGACGATGGATGGATAGATGGATGGATGGATAGATAGATAGATGATAGATAAATGGATGGATAGATACATAGACATATAGATGGATGGAAAGATACATAGCTAGATGGATAGGTAGGTAGGTAGGTAGGTAGACAGATGGCTAGATTGATGGATGGACGATAGATGATAGCTAGACAGATGGATGGATGGATGGATAGAGGATAGACAGATAGATGGATGGATAGATGGGTGGATGGATGGATAGACAGGTAGATGGATGGATGGATGGGCAGAGAGAGGATGGATGGATAGATAGGTGGATGGATGGATGGGTGGATGGATGGATAAATAGGTAGATGGATGGATGGACGGATAGAGGATGGATGGATAGATGGATAGAGGGTAGACCCACAGAAATGGATCAGCATACTGCATGTATCTGAGGTCTGAATTCCTAAATGAGAGACAGACAGACGACCCTGACAGACGGCCCTGGCTGGTTGTGCGCATGCTCTGGGATCTCCTATAAACCCAAACCCTGGGTTTGCGGGGTTCCGTTAGGAAATGCTGGCGGCTGTCCCTGAGCCCGGAGCCCTGCTGGGGGGGGCGGGGTGCTGCAGGGGACGGCGGGGCTTGGCCCAGACAGAAATCACAACTCTGCCCCCTCGGGCTCGGGCAGCACCGGCCGAGCGAACACACCTGGCCACGTGTGCCCATCACGCGTGCCGGGCTGCCCTGCCCCGGTCACGGGAGTCCCTCCCGTGTAAGGACACGGATGCGATCACAGCGGATTCTCAACAGGCTGCAGAAGTGACCTGTGCGTGGGAAGGTCGGCGTCAAGGTCACCTTGAGAAACGGAAAAAACACTGCGCGGACTTTCCCGAGGGGAGACACACCAGGAGGTACAATACATCCAAAGACGGCCGGGCGCCGGTGCTCACGCCTGGCATCCCAGCTACCCAGGAGGCTGAGATCTAGAGGATCAAGGTTCAAAGCCACCCTGGGGCAGGAAAGTCCGGGAGACTCTGATCTCCAAGGAACCACTAGAAAACCGGAAGTGGAGCTGTGGCTCAGGTGGTAGAGCACCAGCCTTGGGTAAAAGAGCTCAGGGACAGTGCCCAGGCCCCGAGTTCAAGTCCCACGTCCGACAAAAACAATAAAGAATAAGAATAAAAACTAAGAAGCGGGAGGGGGATGACACTTCCCCCCTTTTCTGGAATTGGACACCCATCGCGGTGCGGAGGCTGGGTCCGCGCAGGTGGGTGACCCCCGGGAAGGGAGACACTAGCCGTTGGCTAAAGACGCCGCGGGGCCGGCTGGTCTGGGTTTCTAGTACATTCTCCATGACTCTGTTCTCCCTGCTTTTCTGCCTCTTTCTCTCCGTCTCTCCATGTCTCTGGGTCTTGCTCTGTCTCTCAGTCTCTGTCTGTCTCTGTCTGTCTGTCTGTCTCTGCCTCTCTCCGTCTCTCTCTGATCAAATCTCACCCCGGTTTTCTTTCCTGGGGTCCTTAGGAAACACCTGGTCGTCGATGCCCGGGAAGTACTTAGCTGAGCACCTGCGATCACTGGCTTCGGCCCCCGCTCTCTCTTTACGCTCCTCTGCCTTTCCTCTACCATCTGCCCCTCCCTCCCTGACCCTGTCCCCTGGGGAGAGCAGGGGGGAGGCCAAACACCATGTCCCCTTCCATGTGACAGCACCCCGGCCCCGCCACGCCCCCCAAGAACGACACCGCACCCCACAAAGCCTCCTAGACAGTAAAGAAACTCTCTGACCGGCCCGAGGTGCTCAGGATACGGTTGTTTTTGTACTTAGCACGGAGGAGATTTCACAAACACGTTCCAGCCCTCAAGTACACATACTCTGTGTGTGTGTGTGTGTGTGTGTGTGTGTGTGCCAGTCCTGGGGCTTGAACTCAGGGCCTGGGCGCTGTCTCTGAGCTCTTTCACTCAAAGCTGGTGTTCTACCACTTGAGCCACAGCGCCACTTCTGGTTTTCTGGTGGTTTGTGGGAGAGGAGAGTCTCACGGACTTTCCTGCCCCGGGCTGGCCTCGAACCGCGATCCTCTAGATCTCAGCCTCCTGAGTCGCCGGGATGACAGGCGTGCGCCCCCACCCAGTGTGCCCACAGCCCTGCCCGTGTTGGCGGCCTACGCTGTGACAGACGGCAGGTGGTGGAAACAGCGAGGCCTTGCCAAGAAACCCGGAGTTGGCTCGGTCTCGTCTCCACGCTTCTGTTCCCAGACTGCTGGTGTTGGCGGCGCGCATGGGCAGGGGGAAGAGCGCGCTGCGGGGGTGTTCACAGCTGACATTCTCCCGGGAGAACCCCAGCGCCCCAAATATCTTTCCTGGAAAGACGCTGGTCTGAGAGCCCAGGGAGACACGCCGGCGTCTGGTGCACAAACCAAACCCCGTGCCTCTTCCTCCCCTGCCCCAGCCTCTCGCTTCCTCTCGCCCGCCACCGTCCGTTTGCTGGGTCCCACGTTATAGGAGGCTTTCCTTCTAAGCGTCCCAGAATGCTTGAAAACCTACATGTACCTGCCGGGCGCCGGTGCTCACGCCTGTCATCCCAGCCACTCAGGAGGCTGAGATCGAGAGGATCATGGTTCAAAGCCAGCCCAGGGCAGGAAAGTCTGAGAGACTCTGATCTCCCATGAACCACCAGAAAACGGGAAGTGGAGCCGTGGCTCAAGTGGTAGAGCGCCAGCCTTGAGTGAAAATCTCAGGGACTCAGGGCACACACACACACACACACACACACACACACACACAGAGAAAGCCTGCAAATCTTGGCTCAGGTAGGCACTTAAAAAAAACAGCAACAACAAAAACCACCTCTGAATCATTCATGTCAGCAGAATTTGCTGAATTAAATAAATCTCAGAGGCCTTGGTGGTGCAAAAGCGCACGCCGGTCATTTGCACGCCCAGATCTCTGGATTTAGAAAACGTCCCATAATGAAGACTTTCTGTTCCTGGTGAGGCCGCTCACTTATCAAATCCCACAGAAATGGCTGCACACCGGTGTGTGCATGATTATTTACTGAGATGATCGAAATGAATGGAGCTGTAGATCAGTCCCCCGGGAGACTCAGAGAGCCCAAACACCAACCAAAGCACCACCACCAAAACCAAAACAGGACGAAAGCCTGCTCTGGTGCCTTCCCTCCCCCCACCCGAGATCGGATTTCCCCTCCTGACTCTGTGTGACCCGGGCATTTCCATACCACAGGGACATTGTTCTCAGCAAGAACTGCTCTAAGCGGACATGAGCCAACATATGTAAAGAGCCAGCTCTCCATAAAGAACAAGAGAGTCCACCAGAGATAACCACGAAATGAGACCGTGAGAAACGGCAGCCACTCACCGACCTGACAGACAGACGGACACACACACACACACACACACACACACACACAGAGGCCGCCTACCTGACTTGCCCACACCAGCTCTCCCGAATACGGCCAGCTTGACCTCTGCACTCTTAGCCATGATGCCCACTGGTGGGAGCTGTGGCCGATGACCCGGAGTTCAACCTCTGGTATCACGGGGTCATGGTGAGGCTGGGGAAAGGCCGCGGTCCTGAAAAGCAAGGGTGGTTTGGGAGACTGGTAAGTGACTAAGGAACCAACTCCTGGTTTATTGAGCACCTACTATCGGCCGGTCAGCAGGCCCCGGGCTGTGTATTTCCCAGTTCCAACACCACCAGGACTGTGAGACAGAATTTGTCCTTGGTAATGATGTAACGAATCAACAGTGGACTCAGAAATGAGGGATGTACTCCGGCGTGGTTCTAAAACAAACTACGTCCATGTTCACCTGCAGTAGAATTTTTTTGTCTGTTCATCCTAGGTCTTGAACTCGGGGCCCAGGCGCCGTCCCTGAGCTCTTCAGCTCAAGGCTGGTGCTCTACCACTTGAGCCACAGCACCACTTCTGGTTTTGAGTGGTTCATTGGAGATGAGAGTCTCAGGGACTTTCCTGCCTGGGCTGGCCTTGAACCGCGATCCTCTAGATCACAGCCTCCTGAGCAGCTGGGATGACAGGCGTGAGCCACCAGCGCCCGGCTTCCTGCCAGTATTTTTTATGTAGAATTTTTAAAGACAGGGTAAGAGAGAGGGACAGACAGACAGACAGAGACAGAGACAGAGAGAGACAGAGAAAGAAAAATCCTTCGGAAAAGCATCTCCACAGACATAACAACACGGAATTATCTTTTTACTCATATATATGTGGCTGACAAATTCGGGGGCCCGCCGTTTTGCCTCGGATGGACGGACTGATGGAAGGAAGGAAAGACGGCCATCAACGTCAGCTCATGTTTCCTTTGTCTCCCAAGGATTCCATGTTTTAAAAACCCAACTTCTTGCTAATCACTAATGGGACAAAGGCCAAATGTGGGTGCATCTGCTGCATCTGTCCAGCCCTGTTCTGTCTGGCACGGAGATCAAAGGATTTCCGGGTGCGGGGGAGGGGGGGGTGTCTGCTGGGCTGCTGCCCAGTCTCTGCCTCGATTTCCCCCCACGCCACACCACCAAGAGAGAAACCCCTTGTTCTCTATTCTATGCATTCATGCATGGAGCAGACAGCCCCACGGCCAAGGGTCAAGGCAGAAGCCCGGTACATTTGCATATATTAGCTGTATTTGCATACATTTGAATACATTGGGTTCATCTGCGTGTATTTGCGTGCCCCGCTGGGTGAGTTCCGGGAACGTTGCTGGCTAGCCTGTCCTTGAACGCCGGGTCACGCGTCCTAACGTGTAATTTCACGCCACACCCTCCCTCCCCACGCTCTCACGGAAAGTGATTCTAACTCCTGCCAAGGAACGCAGAGCCGGGGCCGGGGGCCCGGGGCGCGGCTCAGGGAAAGTGCTCACCTGGCCTGCACGAAGCCCCAGTACCCCATCCACAGACAAAGCCAGAAGTGGTGCTGTGGCTCAAGTGGTAGAGCGCCAGCCTTGAGCACAGAGAGGCCCAGGGACAGCGCCCAGGCCCTGAGTTCAAGACCCAGGACAGACCAAAAAGCTGACAAGAAATTTTCAAAGTTTTTCCTTCCTTCCTTCCTTCCTTCCTTCCTTCCTTCCTTCCTCCCTTCCTCTCTTCCCTCCTTTCTTCTTATTTTTTATTTTGTGTCAGTCCTGGGCCTTGAACTCAGGGCCTGGGCGCTGTCCCTGGGCTCTTTCACTCAAGGCTGGCGCTCTACCACGTGAACCACAGCTCCACTTCTGTTTCCTTCTGCGGATGGGGTGCTGCGGAATCGAACCCGGGGCTCCGTGCGTGCGGGGTGAGCGCTCCCCCACATGCCCAGCCCCAAAGGAAAACATCTTAATGAAAGAAAAGCGGGGAAACGCGAAGTCTCCCAAGGCCTGTTGCCAGGATACACCTGAGCTACAGCCGCCCCCCGCCGGGCTGCGGTCACCCTACGCCCAGGGTCACGCGTGGCTGGTGTGGATGGTCACCCTGGGTCTGGGGTCACGCGTGGCTGGTGTGGACGGTCACCCTGGGTCTGGGGTCACGCGTGGCTGGTGTGGATGGTCACCCTGGGTCTGGGTCAGGCGTGGCTGGTGTGGACGGTCACCCTGGGTCTGGGGTCACGCGTGGCTGGTGTGGACGGTCACCCTGGGTCTGGGGTCACGCGTGGCTGGTGTGGATGGTCACCCTGGGTCTGGGTCAGGCGTGGCTGGTGTGGACGGTCACCCTGGGTCTGGGGTCACGCGTGGCTGGTGTGGACGGTCACCCCGGGCCCTGTACACGCTCCCACCCCCACAGCTTGATTCAGTGCGATGATCATCCACACATCGAAGCTATCAACCCATCCACGCAACACGGACGCTGGAGAACATCCGAGGGCCATGTGGGTGCGTGTGGGTGCGTGTGTGTGTGTGAGGGTATGTGCGGGGTGTGCGTGTGCGTCCGTGTGTGTGCGTGTGCGCACATGTGTGCATGTGTGTGCGTGCGCATGCATGTGTGTCCGTGTGTGCGCATGTGTGTGTGTGCGTGTCTGTGCGTGTGCATGTGTGTCCATGTGTGCGCATGTGCGTGTGTGTGCGTGTCTGTGTGTGCGCATGTGTGTGTGCATGTGCGTGTGTTGCGCGTGTGTGTGCGTGTGCAGGCTGCGGTTTCTCGGTCCCGGGTGGGGAGGGCAGCTCTACAATCGTTAACACTCACACACGCGTCTGCTCCGATGATTTCCGCCAGGATCGCCGGGAACCCAGTGCAGGCCGAGGGCAGGGTCCAGGATGACCCGCCCCCTCCCTCGGATCACCTCCTCCTCCTCCCTCAGATAACCTCCTCCTCCTCCCTCGGATCACCTCCTCCTCCTCCCTCGGATAGTCACCTCCTCCTCCCTTGGATAGTCACCTCCTCCTCCCTCAGATAACCTCCTCCTCCTCCCTCGGATCTCCTCCTCCTCCCTCGGATCACCTCCTCCTCCATCGGATAACCTCCTCCTCCCTCGGATCACCTCCTCCTCCATCGGATCACCTCCTCCTCCTCCCTCGGATCACCTCCTCCTCCTCCCTCGGATCACCTCCTCCTCCTCCCTCGGATCACCTCCTCCTCCCTCGGATCACCTCCTCCTCCCTCGAATCACCTCCTCCTCCTCCTCCACCCTCGGATCACCTCCTCCTCCTCCTCCTCCCTCAGATCACCTCCTCCTCCTCCTCCCTCGGATCACCTCCTCCTCCTCCTCCCTCGGATCACCTCCTCCTCCTCCTCCTCCTCCCTC